GCAGGTCCAGCCTCACTTAACTTTACAGTCTATTTGGTATGATCAGTAAGTTTTGAGACATAACAGAGATTTCAAATCATTTCTCAAAATTTGCTACCCCCAACTGAATGGTCCTCTCTTCCAACTGGTTATGATTAAAGTCAGTTCATAATCTAGGCATCAATAATGTTCTTTTAATGTCATTTTGCCAAAAGAAAACCAAAGGTTCTCTGGTGTTGCACTGATTGGGAGACAATGCATTTTTATGTGCATATGGAACTAAAGCAACACTTAGAGGCCAGTGTGTTTTCATCCTTTTCTTTTAACTTTAATGATATCCTTATTGGCTTATGCATAAAGTGAATCAACCAGATGGAGGCTCTCCTTAAGTCCCAAGGAACTATATTATTAAACTTCTCTAAGGAAATCAGGGAATCGTAAACTACTTAAGAGCATTCTTTCAGATGAATCTTTTAAATATTGGAGAGAAATGTATGTCATGGTACTGCATTCTCTTCTCCTTTTATGAACCAGGATTATAACACACACTATCAATAAGACATTGTCAAACCAGGAGGATGAAGTTTTAGTGGCTATCAATGTTCTCTCTCAACAAATCACTATGGATTCAACATCTGGTGCCACTTGTTTGGCAAATCCTATCACGGTAAATAACTGCTAGGACCCAACAGGTTGCAAAATAAGTAATCTGAAGAATAGCTACCTTTTTTTGCCAATAGGAGTTGACCAAGCCCAAAGGCCTTGCCAAAAGTCTTCAGCAATCACTAGACAAAGCACTTTTAAATGGTATAAAAGTTAAGTGTTCAAATATGATTTTCAGTTCTTTCTTTTTTAAATATCAAGGCCCTTCAGTTTATATAAAGTTATTGTGTTTTATCAGACTAGAGCTCAGTTTAAGATGTTGTAATTTAAAATTCTGATTTAGAATATAACTGCTTAATTTCTCTTTGTCAAATGAGCCAGTCTCATGCTTCTCCTGGGGAAATATAAGAGTCTTTTAGTTTAAAATAATTGAAGTTAGATAAGATGATTGCAAATTTTTCTTACAAATGAAATAAAGGAAAACTATATACATTTTCCTAT